TACAATAAAATATAAATGTATACAGCTGATTTACGATAATAGGACGCAAGAGAGAGTGATTTTTTGATTTTTCTATAAGATCGTAAAGAACGCAAGAATTGTCCGGATCCAGGAGGTTAACGATATTATACGCCTTTTGACTTTGACTAAAGATGAATCTTCTAAAATGAATGAAAAGAGAAGAATGAAAAATTTACAAAATTGTTGTATCAAATTATATAGAAAACAGTGTTATCTATTTCGTATTGTTAATACTGCACTACGTGACGATAATCGAACAAAACTTGATAAATTGGGTCCCAATTGCTATCTTATTTATAATTGTATTGGCCGTTATTGCCATGATCATGGTTTTCTAGAAATGCCTGATCGAAGTAAATCTCGTTCCATGATTGTTTATCGTGGTGATTCTGCTTCACGTGAAATAATTGAAAAATATCGGCAAGCAGCAGGACAAAAAGAAAAATATTTTAAATGGCTTCTTTTCGTTTGGACGCCAGCAGATCGTATTTTTGCCGAACATTTTTCATTCTCATCGAAGTTGAACACTATTTATCCATGAATCAATATATAGACTTAGAGAAAAATACATATTGTGAGAGTGAACACGATTTCGAGTGATTCAAGTAGAACTCGATGATGTTTATAGGCGACAAGTGATTTATATAAAAATTATTTCATCGTGTGTGTTCAATCTGCGATGATCAACATTTATATTTCAGCATGGATTTTGGCGCATATAATTGCATTCTTTTATGATCATGTTGAGATTGTGATTTTCTTTACACTAGCATTCATGACTCATCGTCTCAGAGTTCTGTACCTTCTTCTAAAGACAGTCAATATTTCAATTTAAACATAACCATACTATTAGTTTTTTTTTGTTAACAGCATTTCTTTCGATCGTTCAAAGATGAAGCAGTTTTTATTCCTACAGGTGCTTAGCAAATCGGGCTGACATCTCAGCTTTCTCTCCAGAATAGAAACAGTGTCACGAGTATGTTGAATTAAGAAAAGTATCCATCATTGTATGTACAGCATTTCTCGGTAAGACAGCGTGCACTCATCATATGCAGAGGAAAATCACATTAGGGGATATAGGCGTGGATAAGGAGAACAACCGCATCTGAAATAACTAAAACTACTAGTATTTTTCGAAATAATACGATTTTATAGTGCTTGTATTAACAACAAGATTGTTGTAATTCTTCATTGATTTAGAATTTCTAAAAAACCCATCATTTTAAAATGTCAGAAAATGAATACAAATATTTATAATAGTCAGATTATGTAGAGTGTGCGTGTGGGAATATACTCTTTATCCATACTATAACCACATTAATATTATTTGTTGTGAAACTAAAATCAACATTTTTGTCTGTATATGTCAGGGGAGATATCTATATTTTTTTATACCCTGCACTTAAGTTGAGTCTATTGGAGTCTGTTTCAATGATATCATTGATTTTTCCGATAGCATATACACAAAAATGATCTAGAAGAATTAAAATTAAAATCACAGCTATCAATAAACTGAGAATATTAAATTCTCTACAGTTTGTAAAGATAAAATCATATACTTGTACGATATTTAAAATTAAGTACCTATGTAGAAGAACAATTAAAAAAAGAAGAGAATTCTAAAACACTAGTAAAAACTGACTTTGTCGATATAAATAGAGATTGAAAATGAAATTCACTAAAATATTTTGTAAATCAAAAAAAGCCTATATCAAAATATCCTATGAGCATCGCGATGACATAAACTTCAATATTTATCTTTAAAAATCCAACAATTATGCATCGAGATATATGAGCAAGTGTGCAAATGTTATTACTATTCATCCTTCTAAGTATCACTCACTTAAAATAAGCATGAAAAGAACCAAAAAGAAAAATATATGAACAACCATATCACATCTTTACCAAGAAGATCTTTTTGATTCTTAAATTTTATTATTTAATATAACAATTGATTTGCCTCCGTAAACAAGACATGACACAAAATTCAAATAAATAGCAATCCCAAAATGCATTCATTTCAAGGGACAATGTAATACTTATGTACTTTTGAAGTACGGAGAAGTATAAAGAGGTCTAAATAAATCTCAAAAAATATTGTCAAATACTGATAAAGATGAAGGAATGTACAAAAAACAATAAAGTATTTTCTGTAAGATCATTATATTCATTGTAGCAAACAATAATTAAGAAAACAATTTAAGAAGTATCTCAAAGTATAATGGAAAACAGACAAACATGAAAACATATGGTAAAGTGTCAGCAATGACAAAAAAATATGAATTATACTTTTCTCCTTTTGACTAATTAGTTCTTTTTCTTTTAGTCTATTTTACCTCGCTTTCGTTAATTTGACAAAAAAGAAACAACCTGGCAACTTTTTTCTCTTCAATGGTCTTAATACGAAAAAAAAAATTATTAATAGCAAGGTAGAGAATTGATCTATCGTTTCCACCTATAATTTTTTATTTTTACCATTTGCATAGCCATCTTTTTTATAACTGAATATGTACATGCTATTTAAAAGAATTAGCTACATTGCATTCTTTGAATAAGTTTCAATAATTATTTCATAAATATTTCTATCTTATATGAGATATGAAAAATTTCTCTGATGACGTCTACAACGAGAAAAGTGGTCTGATAATAAAGTAAAAGTGATGACTTATTTTGTGAAGAGTTTCTATATAAATTTATAGTTCGATCAACAGATAGATAAGTACGTAAATATGTCTCTTTTAAGTAGAAATATACGCAATGAGATAGATAATTTAGTATACAGGTAGTTCGATCAATAATTAGGCACTTATTTAAATAGACGTCTACATCGATAGTTAGATAAATATAAAATGCTCACTGTGTAAATTTCTAGAGACTTAGGTGATTTTTTGAAGAACCATAAAATAAAGAGAGATAAAGAGTTTGGGTGTGGGTGGGAAAGATTTCCTCGAATCGCATCCACACGCATACCCTATCAATAAATAATAAATGATTCTTGGTTTTCTATATGAAGATATCAAATTCAATTTTCTACAAATGTCTCTTAAACTTCAATTTAAAATATTTATCGGAAAGATTAAATAGACTAGCTTATCTGATTTAGAGAACGGAATCGAATTCTTAGACATTTTTTAATAATTTTTTTTTCTTTTACAAAAAAATATCGACTTTTAAAAATACAATCGATCGCTAGACAACACTTGAAAAATCTATCATCAATTATTTATAATTTAATATCTTTTTTTTACACTCATTCTTTTGACTGGATTGAAAACCAAATTTTGAAAAAGAATCGATATTTTCTTCATAGGTTTTTTCGTTTTCAAAATAATCATTTTATAAATGGTATCTATAATTAAATCAAGTTCATTTTATAGACAAATAATTTCACTTGTCAAAAATAAAATAACGTTTCATGCAACATATCAGTTGAGAAAAGGATAGAATATTAGCAAAATACAATGGTCGCTTTTTATCGTACACACTCAATCTGACAATATTTGTTAATCAAATATAGATTGTTATCAATTATTTTCCACATAAATCTTCAAACACATCTGACGGAGAATTTCAATGGTAAACCCAAAACCTTTCAATGACAGCTTAAAACGTTAAAAAAATGTTGAAAACATGGAAATTATTTGTGTAGGAACATCAAATACTCCGTTATGCTTTCTGAAAATATTTATAGAAGACTCAACGTTGCAGAAATTTTACTGTGTCCATTAATCTTAATCCATATATCTGTCGAGTTTCGACTTAGCTTTCCATAGTTTCTTTCTGTTCTTTAACTCTTCTAATGAATAAGCGCAGACATACATATATATGCGCATGTTCTTTTTCAAGATATTGATTCTTGTTTCGTTTCTTTTATCTCTGCACAGTTTTTCCGCCTCCTGTTTCTTTTTAAAGTCAAACAAACAAGTTATAGACTTTGGGCGCACGGTTGTCTATTACCCATTTCGTAATAAGTGACACTGACAAATTTCTGTCTTAAAAAAATACTAGTCTTCAATTAGTCTCACATACGAATAAATACACAAAGATGTTTTTTTTGATGAAAAACACATTATGTGACATTAATGAAGAACACTGACAATTATAGTTCAACGTACATTGAAGCAAAAGACAACGAGACGAAGTCTGGCTAGTCGAAGAAATATCAAAGGTCTCCATATACTCGAGAAATAAAATTGTTTTATTTCTGTATTAAATTATTATCGTTCCTCACAATAATAGTTAATCCACTAATTAAAATTCATCATAGCCTCTATATTCTGATAAAAATACAAGAATATATTATAGTTTCGCGTAGTGAATTTTTATAAGATTTAATGATTCTAGTGTGCTATTTCAAAATAATCATCATATTCGATCAATAACATTTTATTCATTTAAATCTTTATATATACGTCATTGTTCAATTCAAATGAGAACTGATTAGATTTGTAACTAACAACTTAAATCGTCTGGAAAGGATAGTTAAAGTGTGTTTCTAATGTAAGACTTTTCAATGGTCAAAGTATAGATATATCGATATAATCTGTTGTAAGAATGAAGTATGTCGTATTAAGTAGAAAAAAAATGATAATATTAAATTGCTTATTTATGTTATATTGATAAGCACCGTTTACTTCAATCCTTTTTCATGCTCTTTTTTTCTCACACAAAATACATCCATATAAGCAGTACAAACTTGTTTTTTCTTTCGTTGTTCTATACAATATATAACTGACTGGAAGAAAGAAAAAAAACATCAAATTGTTTTATGCTTTTTTTCCAATAACTGGCGACCTATTGGCCCTTATAGTACAGAGAAAAAATAATTAAAGGAAAACAGCGAAAAAAAAAAACAATGGAAAGAAAGAAAGCAGAAAAAAAGAATAGATAAGAAACATAGGGATACAACTATATCAATGTCTAACAAGAAAGATTACACGAGACATAGAGCCACCTCGTTGAAACCAGTTACAATAAGAGAATTTTTAAATTTAAGATAAAGCAAGGAATAGAGAGATCAATACTATTACATTATATCGTCAGTTTTATCGGGTTACAAAAAGATTTAAAAAGAGATTGAGTTCTTTTTCTTGTCTTCCTCTCGTCTCACAATCTTCGTTAGAGAAAAGATTCTGGAAAATTTTGGAGGAACTGGTAGAAATCCACTTAACGCATTCTCCCAACAATGAAACGTTTTCGATATACCTTTTTGAAATTCGTAAACATTTAATTCAAAACTCTCCCTATGTCCAGGATTGTCTAAACTCCTTCAATAATGCACGTTCAAAGAACATTTCTTCATCAATTGAGTCTACTAACACTACCAAATATTTATTCCAATACCTAACGCATCTGTTCACTAGAGAAAGTTCTTCAAATACGTACGCAAAGAAGTATTTACTCCATCCTAGATAGTAATACACTCGTTTTAAACATGTGTACTAAAAATGACAGAGTTTTTTGCATTGATTTTCTGTAAAAACGGAAGAAGCGGATACAACCAGATGAATAACGGTAGAACGTATGAAGTAAACAGCGCTC